TGGACAGAAGGACAGAGGGACAAACGGACAGATGGACAGAAGGACAAATGGACAGAAGGACAGATGGACAGACGGACACGTTTAAATTGATTTACAATGTGATGCTTCTCAAGAAAGTATATACTTTGTGGAGTCTCTGATGCTTCGTTCTGCATCGTTATGACAAAATGAATATACTCCCTTTTTTTTCGGTGATAGGTATAAAAAGAGATCCCTTTTTAGGATTTCTCAAACTGGGAATAGCAAATTATAATAATTTAAGGCGACAAACAGATTGGTTGACAGATGAATAAAGGGACGGACATGCTTAAATCGATTTGCATGCTAAATTTAATGTTGACCAAGAACATATCTCTGAATACCCTTCAGTTACGAAACATATGCTGAATAAGGAAATTCCAGTTATGATTTAAATTAAGCTAAAGATATAAATAATGCACCAGAAAAACACTACAATTTGTTGTTTCATTGTCAGTAAGATATAATTTTTTTGTTTACTTTTTACTTACAATTCTTGCAAATTCATGATACCATTAAAAGCATTTGAATTCAAATCCCGCAGCTTACGATTACCTTTTAAAGTTCTATAATGATTTGAAAAATATGACTCAATTTGCTCTGCACGCTGTTGCTTTTAAATTTATTTTACTTACAATGTCGCTATTTGTGATCCATAAAAAGCGGAATCGTCTATATAACGTATTTCATTATTGGCTAAAATTCTAAATGTATTTTTTATTTTTTTTTTAATTTTCTGAATAAATTTAAATAATCTGTAATGATTCTCTTTTGTCATTCGTACTTACAATTGTTCAGTCTTAATGCTAATAGATTTCATATCAATTCGAGTTATGTGATTATTATCGAGATCTCTAAAGGCATGAATATATTACATAAAGACATAATAAAAATATCCTTGTCAGTGTCCTTTGAATTAACAAAACAAAGAAAAAAAGAACATAAACATTTCACTTACAACATTTGCAAAATATTTGCCGGTGGTAAATGTATTAAATCCGGTACTTTTGTCAAACCGCTATTTATAATGCGACTGAAAAAGAGAAAGAATTTTAATTAAAACAAAACAAACAATTACACCCAAGACTATTATTACAAACAAATTCATATGAAGAACAGCAAGTAAGGAATTTAGATTCGACGATAACAGAATTTTTAACTTTGGAAAACTTGGGATTAAAAGCCAATCTAAAAATTTTGATACTCTATAATATCTGGAGATGGTTGGCTAGTTTTAATCCATTCTTGTAGAATATGTGTGGAAATTTATGAGTAATGATGAAAGAAACTCAGAAATTAGAGCTGTTCTTGGCTTACACTTGCATTGTAGGCGTGATCAATTTAGCCCTTTTTCAATACAAACCTAAGAGGCCGTCCAATGTTTGTACTAACTTTAAGTCCGATTTTGCGTTTGGGAGACATTAGACGGATGGACAGATGGACATATTTAATTCAGTTGGGAATTTGATGCCGACCGGGAGCATAATTTTGTGAAAATATTTAACACATTTCATATAACATCTCAGTAGAGACCTTCTGTAAATTAATTTCATTCGCGCCTAAAAGAGTCGAAGTTAACCTTAAAAATGGTGGAGATTATATTGACCGTCTGAATCGAGTTCTATGAAAATGCTTACCTTTAAGCATAAAATATTGTGGTATTTGAAAATATTTCTACATATAAACCTATTTTCTACTGTGCACCTGAGAATATATAATATTTATATCCTACACCACTTGTGGTACAAAATATATTAAGTATGTGACACGCAGATGCGCTTAACATAGACGCATCATCTATTATACCGATCGTATCAGAGAACGATTCTGCCTGATAAGCCCGTCTGCACATATTTCCCTCTTATGGTTCTCCATGTAAACTAGTGTCCAAGTTGCACGTTACAAGTCTTAAAATATATTGAGGAAATTTGGTACAATGACGTGTTTTGATCCAAGGGCGAACGTAATTGAAAATGGTTCGGATCGATCCACCTTTTCGACCACTCCCCACATAACAACCTATCTTGAAAAGTCGTCGAGGCTACGTAATAATATTTCGACACTCAATTTTTGAACCCCCTCTCATATAACTGGAACTGAAGTTCATGTAACAAGAAGGTCCAGTTTTCAATGCTTCCTGATGAAAATCATCAAAATAATAATTTAAGATAACAAAATTAACTGCACCATCTCGGCCTACTTTTTTGATCCTACTCTAATAAGGATTTTCACGAAATTGATCCTATGTAGAGCAGAAAAGTCTAAGTTTATGTGATAATGAATGTAAAAGTCTAAATTTTAATCAGTTATGACAAAACTGAACCCATAAGACTAATCTACATAAAAAAAAAATACTGAACCGGTCCCGCGTGTTTTTGTATTACTACCCGATATAAGGATTTTTACGAAAATTTTTGTTTTTTAGCGCAGAAAATTTAAGTTTTAATATGTTATGATGAAAATTGATGCATAATAGTAGTTTAGTACAAAAATTAACTATGCTGAATTTTAAATATGTTTTTGAACTTCTTGGGCACAACCATTCTTACGGAAAGTAAGCCTTTATTCGCAAAGAAGTCCAATCTTTAATATACAGTCCCATCATGGCACGTTCCTATAGAAATAGAGCATAATTTTTGTGTACTATGGCAAAAATAACAACTGCGTTAGACAATGCGGTGTAGAGTATTTAAAAGTCGGCCTAGCCCAACTATACCGTTGTTATGTGGTGGTTTCACTTTATAAATAAATGATAAATATCAGATTTGATAGGAGGAAAAGAGAAACGAAAACTTTTCGCGAATATAAACAACATATTCCTATTTTTCTGTCCACCTGGGTATATGCACGATGGGTCTTCTGACGTTTACTTCTAGACTTTACGAACGTCCTCTGCTTCGATGGTATTTAAGAAAAAGTGAAAATTATGAGAAAAAATAGAAATTTTGACATCATTGTCATGACATTTGAAAGTGATTGGATATTTTTTCAAACAACTATCTTAAGTGACAGCAGTGTTTGATATGTATGTATAATTTTGCCATTAGTGGAAGCAAATGTTTTTCTGTACTCAGCTTAAATGAGATAATTGGAACAAAAAACCACGCTATAAGTACTTTAGACTAAATGATTGATACGACCATCATCACCACCACCACCAGCACTACTTCAAATCAATAGACATGTGTAGGCGTGTCGTTGTAAGTGAACGTCCAGAAGTCCATCTTTATTCTTCTTACACTCGGTTTTTAGCTTTGAAAAATTCTTGGACTTGGCTTTTGACCTAGTAGAAGCTCAAAATTTGAGTTTTTGTTCCGAATACGTTTGTAGACAAATGATGTCTCTACTTTGCCCTACACTTTTACATGAGCGCCTTAAGTGTTTGCACACCAAGTATTATTCTGATATCTACCAAAAATTGTAAGATAAAGTTTTCTGCTTAGATCACTGCAGGCTTTTGGATCGACTAACTTCATCCATAACTAGGCTGGACTACGAGGCCCTAGATCTTCAATATAATCACCACCAACGAAACAGCTCTCGTTAGCGTGCATGCTTTCCTCGTAATACAACAACGACGGGTCTCTTTCGCTCGGCAAACGAAAGGTCGGTACCAATTGTGTTCAATACCCAAAATCAGTTTGGCCGCTGCATTATGAAAAGGAGCTTCAAAGCACCTGAGCGACAAACGTCAACATAAATTCGCTTAAAAAATGCTCTATGAATAATTCACAGACAGATGAATGGAAGAAATAATAGGTGGAGAAAAGCCGTATATCTCAATTTCGGGCAGAAGTGGGAGGGCCTAAACTGAAATCAATTCGAAATCTTAGATTGTTCGCCAATATATAGGCCTTCTAGATCTCTGATGTTTTGTTACGCATACTGCAAGTCATAGTCTCTCTCTGTACATGAGCGATACGCTTAAAAATTCTACGAGAAAGAGAAACGTGATATATGGCAGTTATAAAGAAATTTAGATTTAATAATGCATTCGGCAAGATCAGGCTTTAAATACTATACACCACATCGTCTAATACATTTTTTTATATATTATCGCGACAAAATGCCAAAAGTGATACTTCTTTCTGGGCAAGAAGCATATTTTTCATGGGATCGCTTGTAATGGTTGGGGTTCTGAAAATATACCGTCACGGTCCAATAAATTTGATGCTGCCCTTAAAACTCTACATACAATTACTATTATGGAGCAATTTTCATCATAAAATATTTAATGCGAAGACTTTTTGGCATATTAAGACTTACTTTTCATGAGAAACCTTATGTGGCATGAAATTCAAAAAAATTGACCCTCATAGCCTAAATGTAATTTTTGTAGTAAACTCCTATTACGAATCAACTTTCACTAGGAAGGAAGGAAAACTTGGACTATTTTCCCAAGTGAAGGTTTAATTCTATTTAAACGGATTAAGTGATTATATTCAGATAATGGTTCTATCGATCGATCGGTATAATAAAATATAGGTCTCTCGTAAATCATTTTGCGTCTTTTTCTCTTAAAATCGAATTCTTTATTTATTTACTTACATATGAAAGTCAGTTAAAATAAATTAAAAGCCGAATTGAATTGACTTTTGGATGGAAATCTTATATCAATTAATAGTGAAAATTAGTAGGAGAAGCAAAGAAAAAAAAAAAAAAATAATAATTCATGTTTGAAGAAAGAGAAAACAAAAAAATAGCGTGTACACAACTAGCACAGAGGCACACACACAACAAGTACCGATTCAAGTTGCAAGTGAACCCCTAAGCAATTGTATACATGCAAAAGCTTCGCAAACGATAACAGTAAACAACGTCAGTTAATTTTCGAATCATAGAAAGATGTTAAGATTGCAAGTTAACAACGCCAGTTAATTTTCGAATCATAGTAAGATGTTAAGATTGCAAGTTGGTTTAAATAGGACATAGGCAAACTGCCCTTATTAAGCCCTTAGTTGTTTTGATAGACTCTAAACGAGTCCGACATTGAGATGAAGGGATAGACTTAGTTTAAGTTTCTGCAGCTAGGCGGAACGGATTGAACAAGCTCATAATTATATTCACATTTCCTAAAATTAATGAAGATGAAAGGGGCTCAGAGAAGCGTCCAGGGAAATTAAAGATTATCGCATCAAGTAATGTGGGCGAGTCGATGAAGGTAAGACCAAGAATAAATTTGCGTTTCTCAAGTGATGGTAAGGGTAGCAGAATCTAACTATTTTCATAAAGAGGCAGAGAGACAAGTGCAGTAAGAATTACTTTTGAACGGATTCCATTGAATCTTCATAACATCTATAGAAAGGAGACCACACAACAGAGGCCTAGTTAAGCATATGTAAGAAACTTAAGTTCTTTGAATCACCTCTTAATGATACCTAGCGCCAACCTATTCTATCTACGTACACCTATAGGGAGGAGACCATACAACAAAGACAAGCAGAACAAGTATTGATCTGACTGAGCACATGTATAGGCTTTTTCTAATGTAAAGATCCTTCAGCTTTTTGAACCAATTCTTAATGTAAGCTATAACAGACCTAGCTTTACTTATATTCGGATAATGGTTCTACATTGATTGCTATAAAAAACTAGGGGTCTTGCATGCATACTACAAGTGGAGTCAGTACAAGTAGAGTCACAAAGAAAATACTTATCCATAAAGTTGGAATTAAAGAAATTTTTTACTTTATTTTCTACGCGTGAAAAAAGAATCGAGTGTGACAAGGAAAAACTGTAATTTGTTATTCTATATATATATATATAGATATAATAGATAGATATATATAGATATATATAGATATATATATATATATATATAATTTGTTGTAATATTCTTGTTACACACAGAAATTCGCCACGTAGTTATCCTGCATATAATTTGCTCTGCCATGTGTGGTCGGTCTCTCATAATTTCTACGAAACAGAAAAAAACTTAATAATGAAATGTGATAAACAATCTCTTTTATTCTCAAATATTTACCACAATACTACGTTACTATAAAGTATATGAAAATTTTATATTTAGTTTATACAGAATTTCTCATAAAACATAGGAATATGGAATCTTATCACATATAAAGCAATATGCTACGTGGGTCGATATGACAACATCTCTACATATTGAAGTTTTATCTGAAAGGATTTATTTGGTTTTAAATTATCTCCTTTCATTTTCATTACCTAAAACGTTGCTAGTTTCTTCACTTCACTATGCAAGAAGTAGATAATCACTTTTTATTTCATATGTCATAAACACAGTATTATTGTCTTTGTACAATAAGTTCAAATTATTTCTCGCTGTGCCAAGAATTTTAAATTTATTATTCGTCAAATCTAGATAAAGTACCTTATCTACGACGTTCTATCTTTTAAAATTAGAAGAAAAAAAAACAACACAGCCGATAATCTTAGCTGCTAATGTTCATCTCACTTTTAGTCCTAGAATGTGTTCCTTTGATCTAAATAAATTACACTTTTTATGAAGAATCTAAAAAAGCTCAAGTCATATACCTTCCAACCTTAATGGTTTAGGTTGCTTAAGACTTCATATATATCTTAGTCATGAATGGAAATACAGTATACATGGTATGATCAAAATATAACGAGAAATTATATATATTATGCAGACGGACAGACGGACATGCTTAAACTGATTTAGAATGTGATACTTATCAATAATATATACACTTTGTGGAATCTATGATGCGTCCTTCTGGGCGTTGGAAACGTTATGAGAAAATTAATATACTTCTTCAGTCTTTCGATGATGGGAATAAAAAGATAGCTTTTTTTAGTATTTATCCCACTGGAAATTGCCTGAATGGGAAATTACAATAATCTAGGCGGGTGGCGGAAGGCGAGAGAAGAATATGGCATAGGTAAAAATTGATAATTCAGGGAAAAATCAAAACTTCTCTTTAATAATACCCTACACATCTAGGCAACACTCAAATCCACTTTTTATTATACCAATCGATTCAGAATCACATTCTTAATCACTCTAATGTTGTCCGTCCGTATATCTATCTGTCCGTCTTTTCGAATATCTTCAACATACGGGCCGTAACTTTTGGGATCTTTTGATGAAATTTGCTGTACTGATGCGTCTTGACCCAAGGATGAGCGGTATTGAAAATGGTTCGGCGCGCGCCGCTGTTGCAACCACTTCCTCTGTAACCTTATACTAAAAAGTTACTGTAGCAATAACTGTATTAACCAAAGTAATGTAAGGTATTTAATGGTGGGCGTTGTCCCACTACAGTGTTTTTAATTGTTTTCATTAAATTACATCAATTGGAGTATTATCCTAACATTTTGAATACCTATGGAATCATTGGATCCGTAAAATTGCATCCTACATTATTATTCGATGAAAAGATTTTCAATTGCAAAAGAAATCAGTTTAAAAAAGTAAAATATCCCTTCAGGCTAACAAAAATGTTTGCTTTTGCTCAATAACATATTCATATGGCACATCTACAGTTCTATAAAAGCTTACACAATTTTTATTGTACTCGATATGCCCTGAAATACATCCTTGGAAAGATACGTTAATTTCGGTGCATGTGAAATGTATCTGAAAATGAAAAGGGAAAACAAAGCTTAATATATCCCAATAAAAAAAAAGAAGGCAAATCTCTTTATATTGCTTTTGTCAATGTTAAGTAAGTAATTGATTCAATTAACAAGACTTACATGGTACGCAAAAGTTTTAAACTGGCAAATGCTCCATTTTGTATAGTCTCTAATTGCGTAAGATCGGTCAGTATACTGTAAGAATGTACAAGAAAAAATAATTCTATTAATAATTACAATGCAAGCAAGCCCACGCATACTCATAGACACTCACATGTCTAATAAAGTGGTAGCATAGACTTTTAAGCCTGTATTTCGTAGACGCGGTAGACCAGCCGAAGCAATTGTTAATCTTTGCAAGGGTACGCTTAGGGTTTGTGGTATTCTTGTTAACGCTTCACCTTCGCAACGGCACTCAACTTCGGCCTGTAAGAAAATGAAAGTTATGCAGATAAGCAGAAATTAACATTAGAGCTTCGATAGACACTTCAAGTTGATTTAGAAAGGTGCTCTCTGGCTTTCCTGTTACTAAAAAATTTATTATTGTATAAGAGAAGATAGAACGTAGCCTATAGCTCACCATTAAATATTCTGCTACACATTACCATTATTCATATAGCCATTCTTTAAAATGAAACTTTATATGATAAGTGGTCTGATGCGGAAAATTTTCAATAGCGTTCCATGGACCAAAGCTCGTCTGTGTACTGAATTTCGTGAAAATACTTGAAAAATCTACCACCTCCAACTGAACATGACACAACAGCGTGGACAAGCAAACAGACCGACGGACAAGCTTAGATCGACGCAGAAAGGGATTCTGAATAATCAGAAATGGACCTATCTCAAGTCCCTCTGAGTTTTGTATGTACTCGCACAAACTTAATATACCTTTCTACCACAAATAGTTTGAGATTTAAAGACCAACCCCTATATACGTATACCTAGTTAGAGCTGGAAAATAAAGTTTAAAAACAACCATAACACGCATGCAAAGACCGAGATTTACAATAAGCAAATACTAAGATAATTGATTGGCATAGTTCTTAGAACTGTCTAAGTAAGCCTAATGTACAAAAGTCAACATGATCAAATATACACGCCCATATAAATATTTACATTAAAATTAAATATCACAAGTACAATATAATGACTTTGGCTTCGGTTTACGTTATTTTGCCATACCCGAAAGATGAGATTGCCTAGAACGAAGCGCCAAAGACATCACAGAATATATAGATCCTTGATCAGCATTATATTCTGAATCGACTGAAACACGTCCGTCTGTGCGTATGTCCGGATGTCAATCTGTCCCTCGTAAATATGTTCCTGGTTGCAAAAATAAGTCTATCGATGTCAAATTTGGCAGAAATATTGAATATTTTTGCGCGCAAGATAGTATTAAAAATTGGCCAAACCAGTCGAAGAAGACGCTCAGCGTATTACGTAAATTGAAAACACATCTCTTTTCTAAGAGGTATAGAAAAGTAGTTTGTTGCTCATTACTCGTAAACTGCATCAGATAAGGTGTACAAAAATTTGAAGGCATATTCTGTGGCCGATGCTGTAGTACCAGTACAAAAAAAAATTGGTCATATCCACCCATTATAACAATGTAACAAAATTTACTTTATTTTATGTTAATAGGTTTATAACGGGGAGAAACGGGTTTCAAAAGCTCTATAGAGTGTGCCCAGTTTCAAATTTAGAAAGAATTATCTTTTTCCGTCCCCAAAGCTTTCACTCCTACAAATCTATCCATCTACTTCAGCATTTACATTCTTAAAATTTAGAGAGCATTCTCGGTCGTAGCTGCAGTGCAAAAGCATAAGAAATATAATACCAAAAGAAGAAGAAAGCATAGCACAAAAGAATTGCGCATCACTCACTAGGCTACGGCCCTTCTCTTCTTTTTCCTCTTTCCCCACACCTTCCTAACCTAACACCCGGTTTTACCATCACGGAATATTCCCCGAATCACTATCCATATTAAGAAAAACATAGCGCGCGAAAGACTGCTGAAGAACTTACAGCTTCTGAGATAAATTTGAATGAAATCTCGGAAAAGTGAATCTCTTACAATGTAGCATAATTGGTATAATTTTTCCAACTTTTATCCATGGCAGGCATGCTAGAACATCACCAAGAGTTCGATAAAACGCCGCCCAAGACTAAAAACATATGTCGAATAAATCTCGAGCAGATCTCAAACGGACCCCGCACATATCTCAGCAAAATATCGCGCTAGACTACGATCGTATTTCGAACACATGACGAACAGACCTCAACCAGATATTAATCAAACTATCGCCAACAAATTTGCAAAAGAATTTGAAAATGATCCCATTCGGTTAAAGGATATACCTAGAACACTCAAATGCCCATGCGACTCATAGAATCCATACATCACATGTCCCATATAAAATTTCGACTTTTAACCTGAAAATAGAAAACATCGGCTTCTTTTCTTTTTTTAGTTCTCTTACTCTTTTTAGTTTTTTTTAGGATAACGGTGATGCATATAGAAGATGCCGTCACGGCCGAATATAATTTTCTTACTTGTTATCGTTCAGCACAACTATATATCTCGACCTCAATTTTAGCGTATGAGAGTATACGATAACTAACAACTATCAACTAAGTGTTTTACTTGTTCTACGCTCATAGTCTATTATGTAGTCTTCTTTCTTCATTCCATCATTGTTATTAAATATTTTTCTGATTGTCCCCATACTGTAAACATTATGTTTTATTTAATTAAAAAACTGTTTTTTTTTACGAATAATTAAGTTTTAATTACGACAACTACCTAAGTATTTCAGTTCAGTTGACTGAGATATTAAATTTTTCTAATAAATTTAATCCTATTAACTTTATGTGACTTGCAAAATAAAATTGAAAAAGTTTATAAAACGTCATCAGGGTTATGTAAGAAAGGAAATGAAATATAATAATAATAAAACTACGATCGGCTTTGAGAGGAATTTTTAAGAGAGATTCTGAGCCGAGAGCCTGAGCTGATCTCAGCTAGGACTCGAGCAGACGACGAGAAGGTCTGGCGTTGGCCAGAAGTCACCCAAATGTCCATCAAGCCTTAACCAGACGTCGACCATACCTTCATCAAACCTCACAACTTACCCAATTTCTTCTTAGCTCTTACCGTGTTAGGTAAATTTTTTGAAGTTTATCTACTCGTGGTTACTTGATGCGTCAAGTCATCAAGTCAGCATGTTAACCTATTGGGTGACATACATGTCCGAAGTCCAGTGACCTTCGTCAAGTCTTTCCTTTGTATGGCCGTCACGCAACAAGCTGAACGCTCACTTTGCCAGCACTATTCATTTTAATATAGGCCTTTACTTAAAATCTTTTGCGAAAAAACGCAAACAATGTACCAAACATCCGTTTGATCGAAGTGTTACATAAGAGCAAATTTTTTATCAAAAGTTAAATTCCACTTCACTGGTTTCTTTAAGTCATCATATGACCCTTTACTTGCTTATAAAAGACGGACACGGATAGATTGACTTGATTGACTACCAAATTTAAAGCTTTTCATTCAGGTTCACTTCAAGTTTTTATAAAGACTTTTCCTCAATGCAAGCTAGTGGTTTTTATCACCGAAGGATGAGGGGTATATTCATTTTATCAAAACGTTTGCAATACCCGCAAGGAAACATCACAGACCACATAAAGTATACACATTCTTGAACAGCATCAAATTCTAAATCGATTTAAACATGTCCGTCTGTCCGTATATGTGTCTGTGTAATGGCTGGTTTGAACATTCTCCTGGACGCAAAAAAAAAGCTATCGCCTTCAAATGTAAGAGAAACATTGGAAGTTCTTGTGCGCAGGCTAGTGTTTAATATCAGCCAAATCGGTCGGAGGACAAGCCCGCAGCACTACACAAACTGTTGTTCAAAAGGAATGAAAAATTGATTTTTTGCTCATTACTCATAAACCGTAGTAAATAAATGTACACAAGTTTGAAAGGATATTCTATGGGCGATGCTGTAGCATGTGTAGAAAAAGGGAAAAAACTGACCACGCCTACCTGGCATTATGGTGTTCTCAATTCTTAATTTTTTTGTCAAAAGGAAGCAAAGCTGAAAAACTCAGCTTCAAATTTAAAATGCAACTAAACATGTTCGTCTGTCTATCTGCCTATCTGCTCAGCTGTGTATTATTTGGGATAAACATTCTCTCGTTAGCGAAAATGAAATTTGCAAAGAAATTTGGAATCGACTTAACATGTTTCAAGCACGTACCCACACTCCTGTGTGACAGAAGCTTTTCTTCTGAAAATAAGAAATGTCAGCCGCACCCACTCGGTATTATAGATCTGATGAAAATCTAGTTTAGTTAGTTAATTGTTTTGTGCTTTTTGTGCATAACGATGATCGATATAAAAAACTCGATCACGACCAAATATAATTTTCTTAATTGTTTCAAATTGAAATTCTTCTCAAAGTATATTGGTTTAGCTTACCTGGTGTGTGGCATTCCAGCAACAACATTTCCATCCAGAAAGAGGAGTTGATGAGATTATTGCCGGCGTTAATGTTGGTGTCATCCTTAGGTTGACATTTAATTGCAGATTTTCTGTATCCGTGATTGCTGCTGTTTCCGATAAATTATTATCCCCCTTTTTGTTGTTGTTGATGTTGTTGTCATTGTTACTGCTACTATTACTATTCTTGTTATTATTATTTTCTATTAATGTAGAGGGTATGGGTGCCCAACCACTTGTCATGGTATTTGTACCGCCAACGCTACCAAATCCTGAACCCGGCGACTTATCATAGCAATTACTTAACTCAACACTATACTCGACAGCCTGTGAATGACAACCGAAACAGACTAACAATAAAAGGAATCGTAATATCTGATGAACCCGTAATTGTGATTGTTGTTGCATTTTAGGTATATTGGGCATATTATGTTGGCGGCGATGATATTGCGAATGTTGCCATAATTTCTCAGATCGTTGCTTTTGTTTTCTATTAGTTGAAGACATCGTTTGGAAAAATAATTTTACAAAATATTTTTTTCCATAAAAGCATATTAAAGATAAGTAAATTTTCTCGCGCTTCTATTTGTTTTTTTTTTTATGCTGCTTTCATAGTAATTCTTGGAACCAATAGAAAGTGTCAACTTTTATTAAATTATTGATAATAAAATTCAAATGTCTCCTCGTTGACCAACAAAACATTTTTATTGCATTGATTTACTATTTCAATTACATTTTTATTTGGAAGAAGAAAAGAAAAGGAATGAAGAGAGAAAATAAATAGAAAGTAATGTCTTTGTAATTAATTTAAAAACATATATATATTCAAGCTCAATTTCAATTCTTAATTTAATTGAAAAATTATAAAAGAAAAAGTATAAAAACATTAAATTCGGTCGGGACCCAATCTTTTACACCCATCACCGTTATGCTAAAAAAGGCAAAAGAAGTAAAAGAACAAAATTTCCTTGCTCTATATTATGGAGTGGACGCTGCTGTTTTTTTCTATTTTGAAAATAAAAGTTTTTGTCATTTAGGCGTGTGGGCGTTGTAGGCGGTTTACGTCAATTCCAAATTGTTTTGCAAATTTGTAGGCGACATTTTCATGTTCGCTAATGCGAAATATTCACTATAAAGTTGTGCCAACAGACAGAGGGACAGACGCACGGGCGGACATGCTTAGTTGCTTTCCAAATTTGAAACTGGCCAAGAATTTATATATTCTATAGGACTTTTGCAGTTTGTTTCTGAGCGTTCTAAATGTATTGACGAACCTAATAAAATTTGGTACACTATAATTGGGTAGGCGTGGTTAATTTTTACCATTTTTCTACACAAATGCTACAGCATCGCCTATAGAATATGCGTTGAAATTTCTGTACATTTGTTTGCTATAGTTTACAAGTACTGAGCAAAAAACTAATTTTTTATTTCTTTTGAAGAACAACCCATGGGCCATTCGGCCCATTTTCAATATCAACCTGTGTCCAAGAACTTCTTTCTGTTTCTGCCCAATTTAAGACCGATAGCTTCATGTTTGCGGACAGGAGAATGTTTAAAACAGACATTACTCAAACGGACAGACGGACGTACTTACATTGACGTAGAATTTCATACTGATCAAGCACATAAATATTTTGTGGGGTCTCTGATGCTTTTTTGTGGGCGTTGCAAACGTTGTGACTAAATGAATATACTACTCATCCTTCGGTAATGTTTATAAAGAAAGCTTTATTTGATTAGAATCGAGCTTCTCGAAGTTTTTTATTCACTTAACACCATTAATCACTTGTTCCATCATAGTTATCTCCCACATCGCACATAGAGTGAATTTCAAATCGTATATCAAGTACTTCCATATGTCCAGTTCACCTTATATATTACTTAGCTAATCTGATATGAAGATGCTTTTAAGGAACCAGTGAAACTTTAAATTAAAATATTAGCGATTTTTAGCTTTTAATTCATAAATAAAAAAGTAGGAAAGTTTACTAGTCTTCTTCCCATTTGGACAATTTCGGAACCGAGCATAGAACACTTAGAACTATATGAAATCAAATCTTTAACATAAAACAAGGAAAGCGGGAAAATTATTACTTTTTGTTAATTGCGAGACCTTAGCGAAGAACTTCAGAACCAGACATCGAACTATTTAAATCATTTGAACGGTTTGAGATTAAATGAAAGCTTTAAAATAAAAAACCCCAACAGTTTAAGCTTTTCACTTAAGAAAAAAGCCCAAGTAGCTCGTCTTTCAAAAATTTTGAACGAATTCTTAGGTTAATGTTGTTGATTTTGATTCTCACCTGCCAAGAGAAACGAGTAAAACTTTCTAACGGAGTTACCTGGCGTGATGCCCGCTGACATAACATATTCAAGTAGCAAGCTACAATTCTCATCATCCCCGAAGGAGTAGCATAATCACGACTATTTCTGAGGTGCCAGCATGGAAGGGAATAGGTATGGGCACTTTCCACGCAGGTCTGGTAAACGCTACACCGCGAAGGGTATTCTCAGTAATGAAGCCAGACGCCCTGTCCGTATTTTGTTTGGGAAATGGCCATCGGGCCACCTCGCTCCAGTGGATACCCACAATTTAAGTTGTCAAGACTCTATATAGGCTTTTAGTGATCTCTTACTAAAAACAACTCTAGTGACTCTTGTTTTAGGACCTTCCAGCACATCACCGCAATAACATCCTTTCTCGAGGAATTCGTCACAGTATGCCTCAGCTCATTACTATTTAGCAATACCGTTGGAACTAACTGGATAGGGACTGCAATTCGATCATAACAGAGAACTATAAGAGAGAAAAGACGTTCTCCTTTCATGACAGAAAGGATAGAATTTATATAATGCTTCGCTTATACATTCCATAGCAAGAAATCCAAGAAACAAAGCGGGAGCGGCGCCTATCAAACCTGCCACTGACGAAGAGAAGAACATTTTAGATGGTGGCGAAGAACGTAAGAGATTGCTTCAAAAATTACAAACGTCTTCCAAATTCAAAGTGGAATAATCGTACAAGTGTACCGCACCACAAACGACAATCGAGTTAAATAAACGTGTTTTACCATCTAATTGCCGTTGGATGTCTGATTCTTATGTGGTTAATGCAATGGCTTCGTATCCGGAAAATCGTAACGCGCATAATAAAGTATTTGGCGGCTTTTTAATGCGCAACGCATTGGAAATCAGTTGGGTGGGGGCGAATCTCTATTGCAAAAATCGCCCTAAATTGGAGCATATTTGTGATATTAGTTTTGAGAAGCCGGTGAGTGTTAATTCATTCATTAAAATGATTGCCTATGTGGTCTACACTGAAGTTGACCACATCCAAATGATGACCATCGCTGATATTATCGATTCCAGTACCGGTGATCAGTTAACTTCGAATGTATTTTATTATACATTTTCGGCACCAGATGAAGTCCCCGAAATATTACCCCCTTCGTATCACGAAACGATGTGGTATATACACGGACGTCGTAAATTTAAATACGCTTTGGGTTTGGAATAAAACCAAATGGAAGAAAGCATCAGACGAAATTTATCGAAATTATTAATTGGAACAAACAGGAATTTTGTATTGTTTCAATGTAGGTTTTCGTAGTTGTTTTTGCTGAATTTATTCATGTTTTTTTTGTTTTTTTTTTAATCTTTTCTAACATTATTGTGATTTTTTTTGTACCTTTTTCTCTTTTTAAGATTAAAGTAAAAGATTTTTTTTCTTTAATTTTTACATAATTATAACATATAATTATTATGTTAATGACAGGAATAAATAGGATCATAATGCACAATTTAAAATCCCAAGGTCATATGCGGTTAGCAAATTATGCAGTGAGTTTTCCCAAAGAGTATTCATCAGAGTTTAAGGAAAGAAAGTACACATGAAACGTTTAGGTTTAGAAATGGATTACTCACAGGTGCCAAAAATTCGGCGAACATTTACTTAAATATGAGCCAAAATTTACCGATTTGCCACCGCGTTCTATGCAAGATTCCTTTATTTCAGTTATAATACCGTTAAGTTCTGATAAAAGCCTACAAGACCAATATGTAGCATTTTTGGATCATGTTCGATTAGGACGTTTAATCGAAGACATGGATATGCTGTTTGCTGATTGGGTATGTCATCAACATGTGTATGTTCCTTTGTTACCAGCGGATGTACATTTTCCCTATACATTTGTTACTGGTCGTTATAAAGGTAATAAAGCTTAAATCTCTCTTTGCCGGTAACTGCTCAGTTCTTAAAATAAGAATCTTTAGGCAAACGGTAACGTCACAGTACCGTTAAGGGTTTCGATACTTTGTCATTGAGGAAGATGGGTTTCTCCGGCTACAACAGATGGACAGACAGATAAACTAAATCAATTCCGTCATGTATGCCGATCAAGAATATATACGCTTTAGAGGGATTGTGTGCGTCACAAACATTTAAAAATCTTATACACCGCCTGTGGCGTGTATAAAAATTTCATTTTCGTAAAAATGTGAAATTTCTCCTTTTTTTTTTTTTGCTTTTTGTTCTTTTTATCTATTATGTTCATCGAAGAGAAAGCAAACTGTGCTTGAAATTCACAATAAATAGAATTTAAAATATTATTAAAAGCATTAAAATATTTAAGTAAACACATCAATGGTATGAATAGACAAGCAAGCATTTATTTCGCAATACGTCCATCAAAGTGATCATAAAATTTGCGGATAAAAAAACAAATATTTTTCAAAAAAAAAAAAAAAAAAAACATTTTTAATATTCTATGATGTATTTTAAAAAGCATAAGCAAAAAATCTTTTTATTATTGAAAAATTAATGCAAATAATAAATAACAATTTTTATAATATTCATGTACATTCGTGTACATACATATATGAATAAACAAACAATAATTTGCAAAAAAAAAATTCATAATTTTAATCTCAATATAAATAGAAAAAAAAAGTTAAAAAAACAATGAATTTTATCAAAGCATAGTGGAAGAAGTAAAGCGCTTTATGATATTGCCTCATGAATCATAACTGATCCTCTTAAAGCGGGTACGTGTCAATGGCACAAGTAACCGAGGTAGGTAAGAATCACGGCTACAAAGTCAGTGTTGGCGGGTTCAAATCTCAAAGCAGTAGAGTTTTTCCCGATCATAGTTACAATGTGTGTTCACTTGGACACACACCTATTAGGCCGCGGTCGTTTCCCTATCTCTTAAATTTTCCTTCCTAACTTTTTCCCGGCGATCACCGTATTACAAGAATAGAGGACATCCCCTGAGTGATCAGTCAGTAATAAAAAAAAAAGGTAATATAAGTAAAAATACTGAACATAACAATTTATAGTAAAAGAGTAAAAGATAATCCGTGAATCTATAGTAAATTGAAGTGAATATAAGAAAGTGGTTATTATGATGCATAAAGGCCTGAGTTTGGACGACCTCTTCTAATGCGAATTAACTTACGAAGATAGACTGCCCTTCAAACAATGAAATATCTGTTAAGGATCTTAGTTTAGTCACTGAGGGCTATCCCAGCATAGTCAGACGGACGATAAGTTACTTCCTTACCCAGTGTTACTCGTTTTTTCATTCAGTTTTGCTTGACGCGGAAATTTAGTAATTTTTACAACAACATATTTTATTCACCTTGAAATGCTTTCTATAAGTTTTTGTATTGTATTACAGCTGCGCTTTAATTCTAATGCAAAGATTATTAAGGTTATCAAGAGGATTTGGATATTGAGTCAGCTTTCCTTTCACAATTTTCAATTGAATTTAAATCCAGGCTTCGCGCTGGCCCTTAGAGAACTGTAGGAAATAATCTTTTGCGTACAATATTTCTCTACTACTGCAACATGAACAGGAGTTACTCGGCACTGTATAAACCTTGTAAAAAAGTATTAGAAAATTTTGTGACTCCTCGCGTACACTTTTTCAACTGTGTATGCGTGTATGTATGCATATGTATACACACATATAGCTATGTGAATATATGTGTATGTGTACAATTTCTATGTTCTTGTTGATGTGTTCTGGTGCAAACGCCTGTTTTGGACTTTAACTGCATTCCGCAGCATCATCGGCCTTCTTGTGGCGTCATTCAAAATCAGCAAACTATTGACAAATTATTATTTTCGGGGAAGAGGAAATGCTGCAACACTTTTCGAATTAATGCTTAGTTTGAAAGCTAATTTTTTTTCTCGTTACAAAGCAGCGCACGAAATTCGCGTTTTTCCATTGTATTGCGAACAATAAAAGCAGTATCACTGAAAACTACGTAGTACATAAACAAATGAACGAAATGTCATGGAGACATTAATTGCATTTTTTAAAAAAGTATATATGAATTTCTTGTTAAAAATGATATCTCTTTATCAGTCCCGAAGGAGTTTATTGATCAATTTCTTGTGCTTGAGGCTGCAGGTTTAATTTGCTGTATATGTGATATGTGTATGTACTTGCAAACAATACTTCAATACTCGGTAGGATATCGACATGTACACAAGCATAAGAAATTGTTAAGAAAGAAAAAAAAGAAAATTTATTCATTAAAATTTATATCATCGCCTTCGGCTAACTCTCTAAAATAGAGCATAAGGCTATCTAGCTCAATGCTTTGCATAAGTTGATTGAAGATATTACGCATATTCTAGTTCTGCAGTTCGGTGAAGAACCTACAGATGTAAGTCCGACTTGTATTTAGTGGATTCTTTACAAAATATATTGCATGGTGAAGAAAAAACTAATGAGTGCACTCCAAACGATAATTTTAGCTTTGAAACCACCAAAACAAAAGGTCATTCGGAATCATTTAAGATGGACTGCTTCCTCTAGGATGTTAATTGCAAAATCTAGCACAGCTATCGCTTTGATTACAATGCTTCAGGACCAGTCGCACAGCATCATTTTTCGTCCCCCTTAAGGAATACGTTTAAAAAGATATGTTTAATCCTGGGGACTTTTGTGATGTTTTTCAAGTACCAATTTCTTGGTTTTATGTACATATATTTTCTCTTATTAAGATCCTTTGAAAACCACTACACGCGTATAACATTAAGAGATCCCCTTAAATATTATTCCTTATTCGCTTTGTAATATTGCCCTTATATGTAATTAGATTGCACACTAAAATGACACCTTATAATCCACTAGATGTCCATCCAATCTTCAAGTCATAATTGAAGAGCCGTGACCTTCCTTGGATCATTTATTGAAAAAAGTGTAAAAATTTTTTTTAATTTATAAAATTTCATGTTCTTGGCAGCTTTTGAAAAGGACCCTTGGAAATGGTGAAATTCGCTCAACGATTTATAAAGCAAAATCTCTAAAGCGTACTGCTTAGTATCATAAGCGTCGGAAAGAAACAAACCAATTATAGTTCACTCAGTCTCGCCAGTCACTACTTCGAGGAAGTCGAAACAAAATCGTACAGTCGCAACAAAACACCCAATTGAACTATGTGCAAATTTTGTGACACATTGTCCTTAACTTCAATTTCTTTCTTGTTTACTCAAAGTTTTTCCTAACATTAGATAAACTTGTATTTAGATAATTTTCCATAGATTACTCTTTTGACATTTCGCTGTCTATGCACAAGAAAGAAGATACTCCAAATTACGCCTTCAGGAATCTAACAGATGAAAAAACTTAAGTACTGGAGAGTAACGGTTGGAATTTTTTATCCACAGACGGCTCAAAATCTTTTGGTCTGCCACCTGCTTGTGCCGTGGTAGATGCTTCAGGACAGATTCTTCTCAATTACATATTTCACGAAAGTACTTCAACTTTCACAACCGAAGCCAAAGCTATCCTTCACGCTGCGAATCTTTCCCATAAAAACAAACTCAAAACCGTCATCGTTACTGACAGTTTGTTTGTATTAAAAGCTATACGGAATCCTTTCACTTCGAGGTAGAGCACAATCAACAAATTGAAGAATATGATTACAACACACGGCGACAAAATTAAAATGTTATGGGTACCTAGTCGTATCGGTTAATTGGGAAATTAGCAGACTGATCGGGCGGCGGAGTATGCTGCTTCTGCTCCTCTAATTATGGATGATGTCATGGAAAATTGGATCTTTAAAGATACGTTGGAAGAAAAGTTAAAGAGAAAGTTACAGAAGGAAATCAATACCATCATCAGCACTCCTCTTTTATAAACCTTCAATTAAATCCAATTTTATATCCAACAAATGTTGAAAAAATCAAGATCCAAACATTTTCGAGAATTCACCTTGGTCATACAATTGCAACTCACCGATGGATCTTGAAGAAGTCCTCCTCCCCCATTTGCAATTGTGAACAAATTCTCACTATAGCGCACATTCACCGCGACTGCCTTAGCTTTACTTCGGCTAGAAGTATTGCACTTGGAACGATTAATCCTATGGACATTCTACAATCAACTACTGAACAGAATATCAGTACAATATGTTACTTTATCAAAACTACTAGGCTCAATATGTAATGTACTTTTATAAATTAGAGCCGCTAGCTTATGTTGCCAGTGCTCAATGTCT